TCTCGCAACCATAGAGTAGAACTGGGTGCACACTGGCGCAGTATACGCGACCCTTCAGTTTCAACGAAACATCGCGTCTACACCAAAGGTATTTCAATCCTGCGTAAGCTGCTCGAGCCTTGGAACTACGGGCGGTTAGTTCATTGAATATGCTACCGTCATTTGAAACGCAGCTACCTAAGTAGGTGAAACATTCCAAAACAGATAATTCTTGACCATCAAGCGTCAGCGCTGGGGTAGACGACACCCAATCTTGTAGCATCACTTGCATTTTGAAGGTGCAAAGCACATGCCGAACGGAGTGACAGAACTTGTTAATCTGTCAAGTGCCCTTTGCTCATCCTCCATACGTTCGAAAAGGCAAACGATGTCATCAGCGTACTCCAAATTGCACAGATTTTCTCCAGCTGCCCATTCAATACCTACATTTTGGAGGCCACTTAGTGTGTTCTCCAGTATTTTGTCTATGATGAAATTGAACAGGAATGGCGAAATAGGGTACCCTTGACAGATACCGCTCCTGGTTTCGAACGATTCACTTAACCCCCCTCCCCCCCCCGTACACCCTTACACTACCAGAAGTATGCAGGTACAACGACCGCAATAGGTTCACATACTTCCGCCGCATTCCTTTGCGGAGCAGCAACCCCAGAAGAGCTTCACAGTCAACCGAATCGAAGGCTCCTTAAAGGTCAAGGAAAACTGCGATCGTTGGCCGACGATGTGTGTGACGCAGTTCGAGGACTTGACGCAGAGTGAAGTGTGGTCGATGCACCCGCGACCTGGTCGGAATCCGGCTTGCTGCTCGCGGATATTCCTCTCCCTTAAGGATGTCAGGCGGCGAACCATCACAGAAGTCAACACTTTTGTGGTTATCGGAACAAAACTAATCCCACGGTGGTTAGCGCAGTCGTTGCGTGATCCCATCTTGAAGATCGGGGCGATCAACCATTTACCCCAGGACAAAGGGATACGCTCCTCCGTCCAAATGCTGCGAAGTAAGCTAGTAATTGAACCGACAAGAGAATCACCGCCTACCTTAAAAAGAATAGGGAGAATCCCATCAAGTCAGGCAACCTTTCCTTTCTTTAATGATGGAATGCATCTTAGTACTTTCGATTCTGATAGGGGGCTCGCATGTTACAACCCATGGAGTTTCCGTCGCCATTGCCGGAATGCCACATTAGCACTAGGCCAATTGAACTGTTCACTAAAACACTCTGCCCAGCGAATAACAGAACATGGGGGGTTGGGATAAAAAGCAGAGTTAAACGAGATCAGATACTTAAATTGAACAACGAGAATAACCAAATTCGTTATTTGAACTTTGATAAAGTATTTATTCAATTTTTAAAAAAGCTGTAATGAAGAACATGAACTCCGACAAACTTACCAACTCCATCCCCACGATACTGATCATGCACTGGAGTGGAAATCGCATATCCATTATTTCGACACACAAACACGATAGGACAGTCTAAAGTAGCCGCGAAATTCATGCCCGTGAACGCGTCACCCTCAGAGGCAGCACCTTCGCCGAAATAGCACACAACTATTCTACCGTTCTGTTGTAATTTGAACGAGTACGCTGACCCGGCAGCTAAAATTGGATGGAAGAAATCATTTACAGAAGATTGAACAACAGGGAAATCATTCCGGTTTAGCATTATTCATAGAATAACTTTGAGACTAAGGAACTCTGAATTCCGGCATCGTACAAAGCGGTAATGCCTTTAGATTCCGCAGAATATCAGTTTAGGAAATTCTGTGTGCAATAATCATGACTCGATCAACATTGAAAAATTATCATCATTCATCATTGTACACAGTAACACAGTGAAGCGAACTTCACTGATCCCTGCCAAACTTATGTTGCATACAACTTCAGTGATATATGTGTAAGGAGGACTGGGAAGAGAAAGTGAACCTCTATGATCAACACACAGAGAACACAGTCCAGCTGTGCATACATACTATTTCAAACATTCTGGTCTGATAAGAAGTGACAGCATGATCGACATCGTTGTTGGTTCGCAGACATGACCTTCAGTGTCCCCAAACACGCGGTTTCGGAGTCTTTTGGATCCCAACCCGGAAGACGAGCGACACCCACTCTACCTAATCGCTCTGTGCATTTCTTCATGCCTCGTCTCCACGTCATCTGTTGGCCTCAGCGTGGCTTTCTCTAGCCTGCAACAGCCACTGCGAATAAGGCGCGCTGCGGTAGGTGACCGTCGGACATACGCAACATGTGTCCTAACCAACGAAGCCTATTTAGCTGGATTCGACGCGACAGCGAGTTCTTGTTTGAAGTAATCCAAAACACTCGACGACTTACTTCATAGTTACTCACCCGCTCACTCCAACCCACTTGGGCCAGACTACGTAGGCATCGATTGTCGAACACTGGTAAACGACGAATGTCTTCTACCCGCAAGTTCAAGGTCTCACAACTGTGAAGCAGAACTGATCGTACAGTGACGCAGTATACGCGACTTTTCAACTTCAGGGAAACGTCACGTCGCCGCCACTAGTGTTTAAGTCCTGCAAATGCTGCTCGAGCCTTGGAAATGCGGGCGGTTAACTCCTTTGATGCGCTACCGTCGTTGGTCACGCTGCTACCTAAGTACAAAATGGAGTCAACAGTTTCCGTTCAGTTTTTACAACCTTTAACCATGCACTTTCGTGCGCCGGTTTTGGTTGCCC